CAGTCACCACCACCGACAATAGTTCTTCTCAGGACTACACTCACCCACAGTTCACCCGGACGATCAGACTACACTATTACATGTTACCCCCGGGTTCAAACTACTTACTTTATTCACCTCAGTGTCAGGGAAGGGGGTCGTGTTGAAGCAGTTATCCATAAATAGTCACCTCTGCACTGGTGAAAAATTGTTGAATGAAATGAGAAAATGTTGAAGGGAGTGAAAGTTGCCTCATTCTTTTGGACTCTCAGGGCGTGAGTTTGTCAAACACTTTCCCTGTGGTGGTACCAACTAGGGCGGCCAAGGTAAGTTTCTTAGCAGTACAGTGCGTCAGTTATTGGGTTCCCTGTTTTGGTTCACGAAGAACACGTAGTTCACCCAAGCTTTTGTCTGAGCAAGCGCTTGAGTAAAGAAAGTTTGGCTTCTCTTCACGCGCACACGAGAAATAAGTGCACACATCAACGTTACACGGAATTTCAACAAAGTAATCGAACAAGTACGAAATGTTTGCCACACCTGTTATCTTGTTTTCCTGTTGGCCTCCTTTCGCAGTCACTTCGCAGTCCCTGCGGGTTTTTCGTGTCTCTACATTTTCAGGTTTGGCTTCGTTTAAGTTTTTCGCTCGCGCTTTGGATTGATTACATGTTTATCCGTATGCGCGCTTTCAAAGACGTATTTGGATTGGATGTCGTAAGAAAAATTTATTACAAGAGCCAATCAAAGCAAAAGGCAATTTTAGAAGAAGCCAATCAAAACTCAAAGTAACATGGGTTACCCACTCGTCCTAAGACACTCAGGTAACTAACCTTAAGCGCGGGAATAACACGCCATGACTGTGTTTTATATTTGCGTCTGACTGGTTGAAGAAGTAGCAGAAGATTTTTTCAATCAGTGAGGGAGTTTAGCGAGGAAAATGCTCCATCAGCACCAGCCATATTCTAGTGATTATCTATTGTATTAAGGTCATTCATCGGCGGCGCTATGAAAACAGACCTGAAATGACAGTCGAGCGTTTTGACTGAGTTATGTCTAGTTGAAGTATAACTGCGAGAGATGCTCAACAAGCAAACTGTGAATAAACAGAATAATTTTCTCATCATTCTGATTGCAGCCGGTGTTATTTTTATTCCATTTTACAGCCATCTATTGGAACAAAGCCATTGTCAGTTGCCGCCCCAGGGAGGGAAGGCGACAATTTTCTCCTGGATATGGCTACGTCAGCAGTGGCATTTGGAAAGGTAACAAAAAGCGTTTCGCCGACTCGACTTTGTCTGTTTCCTCCAAAAGAAAAAGATGTATAGGCCTACGACAGACTCGATGACAGAAGGATAGGCAGACTGACCAACATGCAGACCACAGACTGGCAGACAGACAGACAAGCAGGCAGGAGAGGAAACACACAAACAGACTGACAGAAAAAGCAGGTTCACTGATAGACTGACTGACCAACAAAATGGTGGAATCACCGCATTGCTTTGGTGGTGGGAATAGAGAGGGGGTTGGGGGAGATGTTTGGACCCCCTCATCAGACCTCTGGGTTCCTTATTACGTGTCTGGCATCACAATTTTGGCGACAACTGGATTACGTATTATTACTCTATTGGTGGATCTTTTTACTGTGTAACTAGATTTACAGTCCTCTCAAAAATTCCTGGATCTGTTCCTGTTCTTTGACATTGATGATTATCCTCTTTTTTTTTTTCCTTGATGTATGCGTTTAACTAAGTAACATGTTCTTGTTTGTTCCTTTTTTATTTTAGCTCAGAATGTGTCGTGTTAAAGGAATTGAAATGCCTCAAGGATGGGGTGTCGACTCGAAAGGACTGGTAAGAAATCATGGGAAAAATTTGCGGCTCCGAAGCGTTACTATAATTGGCGAAGACACGCCCTTTGACTCTAAGTCCAAAAACTTTCGCATTTTGGCTTTCTTTTCGTTTATTTCTATATCTATATTGGCACGTCGGGTCAGCTCATCCTCATCCCCTGAGCATATTGACCCTTTTATTCATGATATTTGACTTTCTTTAAACGGGTTTAACTGATATAAATCGCAAACAGAGTACCCGCACAAGCCCCATTGTCCGAGAAGTTCGTAAAAGTAACACAGCGGTCAAAGGTCCGCGCATGCGCGAACGTAGTAATGAATAAGAAACGTGCTTTAGGATGTCAAAACAAATTTCTCTCACAAAGGTTACAATCAAGCATATAAGCAAGTAAGTCCCAGTGTTTTAAAGCGTCTAACTTATTTGGTAAATCACAAAACAGAGTGGTAAATCAACAGGTTAACCGTACTTGAATAAGCTATCTGTTCGAAAAGTCTCAAGTTTTTATTTTCTCTTCTTTGTTTCCTTTTACAGATTTCTAGGAACTTTTCAATTTCTTTTGTTTGTTTGGCATGACAGTGGTTGTTTCTTGTGTTTTCGTTTGGAATCAGATTTTGCGCGAAAAACTGGCACGCAGGCGTCCAAAATTGATCCCCTCACGCATGCCCAGCGTTTGACCGCTGTGTTGTAAAACGTCAACCTCACTGGCTCATTGGTTGTCCTTTTACTGGCCCTAAATGAGGTCATAGTTTGAAAAATAAGCCTTCTTAATTCAATGCAACAGTTATTTTAACTGTTTCATTTCTTAGTTGATCTTTATGTCACTGCTGAGAAGGAAATAATATACGTTTTGTTAGGAAACTGTTAATCCTGTAGAAGCAATGGATCGGGGTGGACTTTCTCCCCTTGGGGGAGCGGAAATTACTGGTAAGTCGGATGAAGGTCGATATCTGAGCAACTACGTACTTACCCCTCCCTTAACCCAACAACAATCAACTGATAAAACAAGTTAGGGTTAATGTTGGGTATCTGAGCAAATGCGTTACTTACC